TTATGATTTGGGCTGATAGATTCCCCTGTTTATTTGATAGGTTACTACTCAGTAGCCCCGCCGCCCCTTTATGGCCAGTACTCCATCTTCCATCACCTTATAGGAATTAATTAAACTGAGCTCTGCGCATTCGACACGTCTGAATAGGCATTCACCCCTCTCCTCTCTATAGTGGCTTAGCAGTTCGTGCCGGAGTGCAGATCCGTGATCATGTGGTCAATCCTTCTGGGTAAATATGGACCTGCACACAAACTGTCCCTTGGGTTTGAGCCTGTATTTTATTGACCGTTTGGTTCGCCGGCAAGAGATGTAACAAGATGCTACGTGCTGCCCTCGGTTCTAAGTGCTCATGTCGCGCCGATCCTTAATAGCCTATATGTCCTTTCTATTCCTTTAAGAAATGTTTTCTTCTTCACTGCTGTCCACTAAACCAATACCCTCGAGTGAGGAGGCTATAAACCCTATGTACAGCACATCATCTTCGCGTACACTTTTGAAAAAAAATTAGTATTACCGAAGAAATTATAAATTGGAGTGATTAATGGAACCACTATTTAATATAAAATTTATTTACATTTACAGAATCGTCAAAAACTTTCGCCATCCAATCCAGCACTGGACGAGGACTTAGTCAAAACTTCCTTAATATTGAAAAATAAACAACCACTGCCACAAATACCAGGCGCTCAGGTCAACGGTGACACAACAGATGATCATTCAACGCACAAGTCATCGCAATCTGTGGATAATATTTACGAAGATGATAACGAGTTGCAGAATTTTGAGAGCGTATCACAGGGTACGAAATCAACAAATCGCCATGAAAGTACCACGGTAACGCCAAGTAGCTATTCAGAGAGCAGTCTAGATGCAAAGTCACACGATTGCCTAAGTAATCGCTCTTCCTCAAAGAAACGTGTAAATATACGCACTGACCCGCTGCATGTACGCAGCCAACGTGAGTCACCGGAAATTGTTAACTATGAGGATTTAGAATCGGGCGAAACGAGCGTTTTAAATACGGATGTGCATAGTTTGGAGAGGTACAATACGCGTAGATCAATGGATAGTAATTACTTAACTATGACAGGTGGGTTGGATGAAGAGCTTCTATTTTATCGTCATATTTTCTTATTGACATTCTCCCACACAGGTACAATTAAACGCGGACGCAAGAAGGGTCAAAGCCTCGATTTGCAAATAAATATTAGCCGTGAGGAGCTGGAGCAAATAAATGCTGTTGCCGCTGCGGTTCAAGTGAATAAACAACAGAATCTCTGTTGCAGCTGCACTCCGCAAACCGGTCTACATATCCTTTTCTTATCGCTAGTATGTCTTCCATTCGTAACATTAGTCTCGAGCATCTATTCATTTTATATTGGCACGCTTACCTGGTACAATATGTTCAACTACTTCAGTGAGGAGAAATCATGCGTTTATAAATTCTTTATGTCACCCATCCTGATACTCGCCTATCCTGTCGGTATACTCGTTTGCACTCTCGGCTTGGGGATATATGCGGGCATTTCACAATTAAGTCTACAATTTAATAGCTGGCTTAATGAGATAGCCGACATAGAGAAGGGCTTCTACGGTTGGCTATGCTCGTTTCTACATCTCTCCGACTGCAGTCCATACGAGGTGGTTATATTGACGGACATTCGTCTGCCGCAGGATGTGCCACGTGTACATGTGAATACGTCCACTGAAGAATTATCGCTGTAAGTGGAACAAGCACACAAAGAATAAGTATTTACAACTCAAAAGTGAACATAAACCGTCAAGTTTTTGGAAAGTGATATAACGCACATACTTATAGTACATACATACATACATACATATATAGTATTAGAGGCAAATCGAAAAATGCAACTATGGTTAGTTTGAAAATTCGATATATGTATTAACAATACCTACATAAATATATACATACATACATGTATGTACATTAGGGTGGTCCAAACAAAGTAAATTCGGAAATTTAATGCTCTCACCCCCTAAGATTGTTAACCCTTTTTTGTTGTGGAATCAAAATATATTTAGAGGTGCCTCAAAGCGCTCAAAGTTTTCCACAAGGCGAATTCACCTTGGTTTCCCATGTATTTTATATACAAAAAAAAAAAAACATTTTTCGTAGAAATGGTATAGAATTCTTTGAAAATCAAAATTTTTAATCGCCAAACTCGGCTTCTTTTCCAGATACTTCAAAGCCCATTGTTTATTTAATCATTTTTTAACATTAATTATTTTTTAATGGTTCCCCAAAAATGCAATGGAGGGATCAATAAAAAACATGTAATATGGAAAAATGGCTATTATTCTTTGAAGTCTCTTGAAAATTTTCCGATAGAAAAATATAGATTTTGTTTAATTTTATATCATTTCTACAAAAAATTGTTTTTTCCCCATGTAAAATACATGGGAAACTTTGAGCATTTTGAGGCAAGAAGAAGTGGTATATTTTGTTCGATATACAACAATCCTAGCGGCTGAGAGCATTAAAATTCCGACTTCGCTTTTTTTTTGCATTCATTTTTGGACTACCCTAATGTATTTATGTAACGGGTGTCTGTTTTTGTGCAGATAGGGTAGGAAGCGTTGCTTTAGAGCAATCGCGTATTTTGATGGGTGATAATTTAGAGGACGTAATATTTTGAAACAAGAAATCTTAGAAATTAAATATTGGATCGAGCGTTTTATTTTGTAAATCGGTAAATTTTTGCGATAAAAAACTAGACGTTTTTTTTCTTTTTCTACTCACATGTCGAGTCCTAACCTCAAAAAAAACCCTAAGCGAAATTTTTTTGTTTCAAACTTTTTTTTTTACGCAGAAATGAATCCAGACGCTCTAGGTGCATTTCTACATCAAAAAGAAAATTTCGAAACAAATTTTGTTTACGTTAGATTAGCAGTTAGGACCCGATGTGTAGATACATATGTAAGTACATAAGGGGGCCTCACCAAAAAAAAAGTTGCAGGTTTTCCACCAGAGTTATGAACTTGATATATTTTAAAACTTCCAACTTCCACCAAAATATTTCGGAGAATTGTTGAGCTCTACTTGGGCTTTAAGATTTGAAATTACATGTCTAACCTATGCACGATTAAGTGTTAACCGAAAAAAAAACCAAAGCCTGAAAATCATCCCTGTTGATGGCAAGCGAAAGGAGTACCAAATTGCATGTTCATAGGTGCCAAAGTAGAGGAGTTATAACGAAAATACTCATATCTAAACAATCAGTTGTATGGGAGCTTATGTTCTAGTCAGCCGATTTTGCGGCTTCCCACAAATTATTAAAACGTTGCAAAAAGACGCGAGTGTACCAAATTTCGGGCGGATATCTGGTAAACTGAAACTAGTTTGCGTTCAAACAGACAGACGGACATGGCTAAATCGACTCAGATCGTCATTCTGATTATTTCGGTATACTTTTTTATGGGTCTATCTCTTTTTTCTGTGATGCTTACAAATAACGGATCAAAGATTTCATGTTAATGGAAGGTATAAAAATACGGGCCTCCTTATTATCCAAGAAAATTTTGCAAAGATAATTTTTCTGTGCAATTTTCAACCGCCCTAATGTACATGCATTTTTTTCACTTTATAAATTGATAGGAAAACATCAAGAAAAAATAATATAAAAATTTAAATTAAATTAAACGACGGATACACATTTGAAACGAAGCACGAAACATTTTTATACTACTACCAAAACGCTGTAAATTTGCTTGCTTGGGCCTTTTCATACACTAAGCTCAATATCTGACAATTTTAAATTTTGGGGATTCACTAGTTGCTTCAAAATGCAATTCAACACAATACCAGAGAGCTTAAATACATTTCCGTTGTTGTGAAACACCTTAAAAATTTTTAAGTTTCTGACATAACTAAAATGTGGCTGGGTTTTAAAACTAGTGAATGCCCTTATTGTAATTTTTTTATTTGTAAAATACATGTTGAATGTATGCGGTTTTTCTCCACTGTTAGTAACAAACAAAATGATTATAGAGAGACAAATACAAATATTTACGTATGTACATATTTATCAACATAAATATGTAAGTTACTATTTATCTAAAGTTAGGTGCACACTTGTGTTATCAGCAGCAGTAAAATAAATAAATAAGATTAATAGATACTATTTAATAAAGCAAGTTACAAATATTGTAAAACTACTGCAGTTTATTTTGAAGCTAACTCAATGAAATTAAAGTGCATTTTTTTGACGAATAATTCCTTTTTTTGAGTAGAGCAGATTCATATTTATATATACTTTTAGGTATATTAAATTATATGTATGTACATATGTGTATATGCATACATATAAAAATTAACTAAAAAATACATATACTTATGTATTTAAAGTATTTAGTGTATTCACATGCATTTATTTTGAATAAGTAAAATTTTAATTATGAGTCTCAAAAAATATGTATGTAAATCAATAATGTGCATTTACGTAGGTATTAAAACTAAACACAAATTTATCTAAAACGAAAATACAAGTTATTGAAAAAAAAAACTCAGTTAATAATGTGATGAAATGAAATGAATCATTGTTTTGCGGCAATTTATGTGCAATTTTGTTTTAATTTTTGTAAATGCTTCTAAAATCGATAAGAAACAGTGTAGTACGAGTTAGTTTTTCTATTCTCTGGCGACACTTTTGCAACTAAGTATTCAAGTGATTAGTCAGAATATACACGTAACGTAGTATTTATATATATTCTAAATATGTACTTAGTTTATTTTTTAAGGCAGCGTACGACAGTCTTAATAAGTAATAAGTAGTCTTCTATAAATATTTTTTAATAATTTAAATTATAAGAACTTTATGGTTAAATGTGCAAACTAGATTTCGAAATGTATGCCAAAAATGTAGATAATTCTTCAATGAAA